AATCGGTAGCTTTTCGTGGTTTCACCGATCAATACCGGGCATATGCCGTAGTAGTACTCTAACAAACGAGCCATGCACCGCGTGCATTCCTTTTTTCCTTATCCTATCCTCACCGCTTCTGTCCATAAATGTCGCGTCACCAGTCAGGAGGTTAGAGCTTGCCCCAGCTGGAGCGGTGATCCGCTGTTGTGTGACATGCACTATGTGATCAAAAGTATCAGCACACGTGTCTGAAAATAGCTGACCAGTTCCTGGCGCCCTCCATCGGTAATGCTGGAATTCAATTGGGTGTTGGCCAACGCTTAGCCTTGATGATAGCTTCTACTCTCACAGGCATACTTTCAATCAGGTGCTAGAAGGTTTCTTGGGGAATGGCAGCCCGTTCTTCACGGAGTGCTGCACTGAGGAGAGGTATTGATGTAGGTTGGTGAGGTCTGTCAGGAAGTGGGCGTTCCAAAACATCCCAAAGGTGCTCGATAGGATTCAAGCCAGGACTCTGTGCAGACCAGTTCATTAGAGGGATCTTGTAACCACTCCGCCACAGGCCGTGCAGTATGAACAGGTTCTTGATCGTGTTGAAAGATGCAATCGTCATCCCCGATTTGCTCTTCAACAGTGGGAATCAGTAAGGTGTTTAAAACATTAATGTAGGCCTGTGCCGTCATAGTGCCACAGAAAACAACAAGGGGTGCAAGCCCCTCCATAAAATACACGACCACAACATAACACCATTTTATACGCGTTTGAATACTTTTGATTGCATAGTGTATAACCACGCAAGACCGTGTAGTTGCGTTTGCGCTATCGCAACGCACGACGAGTAAGGAGCACAAGGTGGGCGTGGCCTGGCCCCAATAAGACGTACCTTCGGCTTAAGATGGTTTATTATCTGACATAACGAGGAGGTACCACCCACAGCCGGGACAGAAGGACGCGCCGAGACCGCTGGGACAAGTCGAACGAGAGCGGTGGGTTGCGACTCAAAGGTTGTGCCTTAAGGCGGATCCTCACATTCGTTATTCGGCGAATAGCAATCACCCGCTCGCCGAATCCCGAGTAGTGTGGACGGGTCGCTATTCGCGAAGATTCGGTATTCGCGCCGAAGATTCGATATTCGCCTTATCCCCTGCGTGTCGGTCTTTAGAACACATCAAAGGGAGCGAGGATTCGCCGAACACATCAACTGTTAGGGATTGGGCAAGCAGTAGCTCGCTACTAGGCGAATGCCGAATGTGTGGAGCCGACTTTAAATGAAGACGGCTTGCGTAAATATTTGTTGGAACAAGAAAAAAATTCTAAATAAACAAGTAAAAACAGTATATTTTTATGCATTATGATTTTCTCAACAATTATTTTCTTAGTAATGTGATTTCCTGAGGCGTAATAGGGAAAGATATTTCGCCATTTCAAGCCCATTTTTGTGGAAATAATGGATGAGTTCTTATTTCACTCCATTATTTTCATACGGATTAGGAATCTCCTTCATAGAAATTGAGTTTGATTACACTCTTAGGCAATGAAGATACTCTAATAGTAGAAAATAGGCATTTTGCCTATTTCATAGATTTCAAGTGTCCCAATTATATATTTGAAGGATGTCTCTAATGATTGTCGCCAAAAAACAATCATTTGTGCTTTGAATAATACAGTTTCAATACGGCGTAGAAATAAGGAAGGTTTCAATTATTCTGAGTCAAATGCAGATTCTCCTCAGATTGTTTCGAACAAGTAATTTTAACCAAAATCTATAAATATTAGAAGCCTTATTTATAAACAAGATCAGTATCATCGTCCCAGAAAATTCTAAATGTTATTTACATACCCATTACAATTATGATTCATCATATTACCAGAATTCTTACAGCTTTCATGACGTGTCCTCGACTTTTACTTAGGAGCGTAAAACCGACAAAAATCCGCTCCCGACAAAATAAGGGGAAGTCAGGGGCTGACGAAACAACGTATGCGCTCCAATAACGCAGTCATCATAAAATAAAATAAAAAACATAAAGTCCGACATAAATTTCAAGTACATTTCCGCCGAAATTTTTCACTGCCACAGAGGGCATATTATTACTCACCCATCGCAGCTGAAAACAGTCAGAGGCCGTCAGAACGCCTTAATCCCTCCTAATATACGGCGGCGGACGTATAGTTGCCTGAGGGAGTAGGAACACGCGCGTGCTGTACGCCGACCAGGTGGGGCGGGGCGAGTCGGCGGGGCGAGTCGGCGGCCGCGTGAATAATCTGGCTGTGGGAAGAGCAAGGCAGACTCGACGTGAATTTTCGTTCTCTCTGGAAGTCATGTTGACCAGCGCCTTGATAAACGTTTCTTCTGATCGTTTTTATCTTTAGAACAAAGATGTTTTATATCAAAAAAGAACTCTGCTAATGAACTTGGCTAATTAAACTATTTATCGGTTAGAGTTTGCGTCTTACCTCCGAATCCACGTATGGGTGTTTCGGACTGAATGTTGTCGGAATTGGATTATTTGCTCCGCTACTTGCTGTCCAGGTGGGGCGGGGCGAGTCGGCGGCCGCGTGAATAAGCTGGCTGTGAGAAAAGCAGGTCAGACCCGCGTGAATTTTCTTTCTCCGTGGAAATCAAGTTGACGAGCACCTAGTTGAACGTCCCCTCCGTCCCTTTTTTGTCTTTGGAATAAAGAATTTTTAAGTCAAAATGTACTTCGTTAATGAACTGGCCTAAGTAAAATATTTATCTGCTTGAAATGGCATCTTACCTCCGTGCCCACGTATGGGTGTTTCGGTCTGAATGTTGTTGTGGGAATAGCAGACGATTTGCTCCGCTACTCGCCGACCAGGTGGGGCGGGGCGAGTCGGCGGCCGCGTGGATAAGCTGGCAGCGGGAAAAGCAGGGCAGACCCAACGTGAATTTTATTTCTCCGTGGAAATCATGTTGACGAGCACCTGGTTGAACGTCTCCTCTGTCCCTTTTTTGCCTTTGGAATAAAGATGTTTTAAGTCAAAAGGTACTTCGTTAATGAACTTGACTAATTAAAATATTTCTCGGTTAGAGTTTGCGTCTTACCTCCGTATCCACGTATGGGTGTTTCGGTCTGAATATTGTCGTCGGAATAGTAGATGATATGCCCCTCTACTCGCCGACCAGGTGGGGCGGGGCGAGTGTGCGGACGCGTTAATAAGCTGGCTGTGGGAAGAGCAAGGCAGACCCGACGTGAATTTTCGTTCTCTCTGGAAGTCATGTTGACGAGCGCCTTGATAAACGTTTCTTGTGATCGTTTTTATCTTTGGAACAAAGATGTTTTCTATCAAAAAAGAACTCTGCTAATGAACTTGGCTAATTAAACTATTTATCGGTTAGAGTTTGCGTCTTACCTCCGAATCCACGTATGGGTGTTTCGGTCTGTATGTTGTTGTCGGAATAGCAGATGATGTGCTCCGCTACTTGCTGTCCAGATGGGGCGGGGCGAGTCGGCGGCCGCGTGAATAAGCTGGCTGTGAGAAAAGCAGGGCAGACCCGCGTGAATTTTCTTTCTCCGTGGAAATCATGTTGACGAGCACCTGGATGAACGTCTCCTCTGTCCCTTTTTTGTCTTTGGAATAAAGATGGTTTACATCAAAAAAGTACTTCGTTAATTAACTTCACTAATTAAAATATTTATCGGTTAGAGTTTGCGTCGTACCTCCGTGTCCACGTATAGGTGTTTCGGTCTGTATGTTGTTGTCGGAATAGCAGATGATATGCTCCGGTACTCGCCTTCCAAATTGGGTAGGGCGAATCGGCGGACGCGTGAGTAAGCTGGTGTGGGAGAAGTAGGACTTCCATTCTCGTTCTCTGTAGAAGTCATATTGACGAGAACCTGGATGAAAGTCTCCTCTGGCCTTTTTATCTGTGAAATAAAGATGATTTCAGTAAAACAGTAGTCGTAGTGATTTGTGCACAAAAGTTAGTAAGTGAATTTGATTAATAAAACTATTTATCGAGCCAAGTTTTCCTTCCTTCTTACCTTCCATTCCGTTAAAAGACGTAACAGACAGCCAACGTTGAGAACTTTTTTTAACTATTTTGTAAAAGTCACATTGGGGAGCTTTAAGACGACTTTTCAAATTGTTCTTATCTGTGGAAAAATGTTGTTTTCTGTCAAAAAATGTATTTCTGTAATGAATTTGGTGAATTAAAGTATTTATTGGGTGTTTATCATCTTGCATAAGTATCCAATTATAAGTATTTTGAACTAAATATTTCGGGTGAATTTTGTTTTACGGTATTCGCCTACCAAGTGGAGGAAAAGGGTCCAGCAGACACGTGTATACGCTGGGTAATGGAAAAGCATATTAACGAGCATCTAGATGATCGTCTCCTCTGAATGTTTTTGTCTCTGGAACAAATATGTTTTCTGCCAAAATCAACTTCGTTAATGAATTTGATTAATTATTTTTCGCACAGGTTCTCATCTTACCTGCGTGTCTACTTAAGGATGCTCCGAACTAAATATCTCGGGCCAAATTTTGAACTCAACTGACCTATCAAGGGGAGCATAAGGTCGCGGTGGGCGAGTGAATAAAATGGGTGTGAAAAAAGCTGGGCAGAAACGAGATGAATTCGCGTTTAGAAGTCATATTTCCAAGAACTTGATTGAGCTTCTCTTCCGATTATTTTTATCCCTGGAACAAAAATGAAATTTCCTGTCAAAAATGTAATCCGTTAAAGATCAATGATTTGATTAATAAAATATTTATTGGGCAGAGTTTTTGCCTTTCCTTTCTGTCTATTAATGGGTGTGTGTGCCAACACTATGCACTTTGCATGTTTGGTGAAATTCATATTGATAATCGATGGATCAGCGTCTTTTCAGGCTGTTTTATCTCCCCCCAAAAAATAAGTTTTTGTGACAAAATGAACCTTTTTAATGATTCGTGTAATTAAAACATTTCTAGGGTAGAATTTATAATTTACCTTCTCATCCAGTATGGAGGTTTTGAACTCAATACTGACCCCAACTCTTTCAAAAATTTTTCTTTGCCTTGCTCGACGAACTGGCCCCAATGGGAGATGGAATAATCTGAGCGAGGGAGAAGCAGGGCAGCAATGAGGTGAATTGCTGTTGCCGGTTTCGATGGACGTTGACGAGTTTTGTGGCTGAGCGTCTCCTCAGACTGTTTTTGTCTCTGAAAAAAAAAATACGATGTTTACGTTAAAAAATGAACTTCGTTATTGAATTCTTTTTTTCTTCTTCTTCTTGGGGCATTTTTGAACTTCAGAGAATGTCGATTTCAACTATCAGCGCCAGGTAGCCACTATCTCACTCGTGGGGGCACATATGAAACTTTTAAATACGATACTGATACACTTGCGGGCTTCGCGGTTTTAGTCGGCAATCTCACAATGCCTTCGTGATAACACATACACATGAAAGACAAGGAACACACAACCAAATCCCACAACAGGACACGAACTGATGACCCTTCAGACCGAGGCGCTGAGTCGGCATACGATCTGACCACCTCGGCCAGGCAGGTCAGCCTTTATTGAATTCAACGAATTATAATATTTCTCAGGTAGAGTTTGTGTCTTGCCTTCGAATCTGTTCATGCGTGTTTTAAACTAGATATTGTGAATTGTGAATTTTATCTTGCACTATTGGCAGACCAGGTGGTGTAAAAGGTCAACACAAAAACACAAATACGTTGGATGTAGGAGTTGAACTGGCGTGGCGTGAAGTGAACATCCGTTCGCATTCGCGATGAGAATCAATTCCACGGTTTGCTCTGGAACGAAGACCAAATCTCTCGCCAAAAATTATTATTTTTCCTCATTTATTATTCAAACTCTGTTACCATATTACGTTTGGCTATTGCCTGTTTTAGACATATATTTCTCCTTGATCCACCAATTATGATTAATAATGGAAGGTTTTAAAGATATTACTTCTCTGCGTGTTTCTGTTCTTTTATTATGAAATAGTTTCCGAATAGACAAACCTTTTTTTTCAAGTTTTCAAAAGTCAATTTTTGTAAATCTCTTTTTCCTCTAAAAAAGAATAAAATAGGTAAGTTAGATGGTGTCGACGGTAGAATATAATAAACATAAAGGGTGGCCCAAAACTGGCTACAAGAGAATTTTCAGAGCGATTGGATCATGATACTCGACCAATTTAGTACAATTGTAACCTTAAGAACAAACTCCCAATCTTGTGTAAAATTATAATATTATAATAATTCAATCACTAAAAAGTTATATAAACTTTTAAAAAAATGCAATACTAGTGTCCTAAAAATAAAGACTTAAAAATGTCATTCTAACATTTTATAAATTCATACTTGACCAATTCACTAGGCATATATTAAAGATCATTACACTTACATTTCGATGAGAATCCTACAAAATCCTCAGGTATGAACTTAGATGGAGAGTATACACGTATTGAGCTAAAAGACGAGAGAGCTCGAAATGTTATACGCCGTTTTTAAAATTCGCTGCCGTAAGGGGGCCCCATTTGCGAGAGCTGCGAGCGCACAATTTGTAACTGTCTCCTGGCCAGGTCAGCCGGCCGTCGTCGTCCGCATCTTCCGCTCCATAGGTGGGGGGATGGGGGGGCTGTTGTTCGCGCTCGTCTGCCGCGTAAACGGAGCCTATCTCGCTGGAAACGATCACGTTCCCGGCCCTTAGCGGATGGCGCGGCGGGCGGGGAGGGCGAAGGGGAGGGGAGGGGGACGGGCGGAGGGGCGGGGAGGGGTGGGAGGGGCAGGCCGGGCGGGCCTGACGGGGCGGGGCGGGCGGGCGAGGGGTCGGGGGGCGGGGCGGCACTGGCGCGGGACGCAGGGGGGGGGCGGGGGCGGGGCGGGGCGAAGAGCTCTAAAGCGTCGGTGGCCGCTGCGTCCAGAACGACCCACTTGTCCCGCTGCAAAGGCCCTGCCAGCCGCTCTCACCCCCCCCTCCACGCTCGCTGCACACCGCCCACGTGCTGCTGCCCCTCGCAGGCCACACTTCCTGCCGCTGGCCGTTACCATCGCCTCTACGCCATGCTCATGGTATCCCTTTCCTTCAGCATCTCGCCACCTCTCCGTCCCATCCTTTTATAACTCCCTCCGCCAACCACTTCGCATCACTCCGTTTACATCAACGTCCTCCTGTTCCCCGGTGTCTGCTGCACATCTTCGCCATCTTAATTATTGTAGCATTTCCCTTTTTTGTCATATATCTCGCTTCAACCTCTCCACCACTTCGCCCCCCCCAAACACATTGCTTATCACGGCGTCCAATCTCCCACCCACTCCACCCCACTCCACACCCACCACTCTACCAACCCACACTCACAACTCCCACACTCCAACACCCACCCACTCCAACACCCACCACTCCCCAACACCCACTCCACAACGCACTCCACCAGCCCCTTCACCACCAGACCCTCCACCACCCAGTCTCTCGTTCACTATGCCACCCTCCCTGCCCATATCGATCTCCTCTTTCTCCCCAAACACCGACTCGACCTTGGTCCGTCTCACTCCCCTCAATCAATCCACCTGCTCTTGTTACCCGTGGTCACTTGCCTATAAACGTTCCCGCCGTCCTTTCCACTCTACACCTCCCGGTCGCCTATCTTCACAGCCCCCCCTCCCCCCACCCCATCCGCCCCGCCCCGCCCGCCCCTCGCGGCCGCGGGAGCGCCGTTCACGAGGCGCACTAAAAAGGGAAAGAGAATGGAAGCGCTTTCGCGCGAGGCGTCTATTTCGTGATTTGGCTGTCTGCGCGCCACGCCGCGCGCAGCGCTGAACGTAGTTGCTCACTGCTCACTGCTCACGACGCCGACCGCAGTGGGCGGAATGTGACGCCCCAAGTGCCGTGTTGCCCGTTTTGGGTCCCGTGTTTGCCGTGTTGGTGCCGTGTTCTCAAATTAAAAAAAAATTTATTATTATTTTGCCTCAGGACGGGAGGAGGGGGTGGACGGTCCGCACCGGCGACGTCATTGCCGAAATCACACTATTGGATATTCAGGTTTGAAATATTCTCATTTAAAAATAAAATACTATTATTCCAATAAAGTTTTTATAAATTAATAATTATGATTTTTTTTTTGTTATTGGGTTGCATCAAGTTCTAGATCATTAGCACCACTATTGCTTGTAACGTTATGGTCACTGTGAGGATGACATGATATGATGATGTAGGTGAAAGGACGAACACAAAGAATTTTACAGGCAGGTTTCAAAGGAGAAATGAACTAAATTAATTGTATAAATTATAAAACTCTTAAGAACCTTTCCGGAAATTTTGACTTGACTATGAAGAATAAATCCGCTGTTCTTGTTACTGAACTTTACTTATGTAAGTTGTTTAAAGGATATCTCCTGAAGTTCCATATCGACCATTGCTCTAATGCAAAATATAATTGTTTTGCTTAAGTGCAAAATTCTTCAAAATATCAAACAGTAACAAATGAATCATGAAAATATTTAAAGATAATGTTTACAATACTGTTTACCGTTTATATGTAAGGAGTGGTTGATCGGTTAACGTTTTGGGACGGTTTTATCCGAGTTCAAGGGGTATGAAAATATTCTTCATAGGTCTCCTTAGGAAGGGAGGTAAACACGGTCGATGACAGATATGAGGCTTGGACCTCTAGCCTGATTGACGTTTCCGATCAGACTCTAACTCTTCATGCCTCTAGGAACAGCTACTTACCTCCCTCTCCTACCGATAGGCCTGCCTTTTGCAGTTGCAAGTACTGCGAAATGAGCATTACGCAATGATGATCGTTAATTTTCACGCGGTAAACGAAGTTGACTGTAAGTCGCGCCGCGGATTCATAGTTCTAAAACGTGAAATGAAAATGCGAAAAAAGAAAAATTAAGTTAAAAAAGGCAATAAACGAAATTAATGCTTCCTGTAGCATATTCACCGTTTAAAAGGTGGATTAGTGCATAAGAAAATTGGTGGTCCCCGTCGATAGGGACTTCCACACTGATTTAATTAAAACTTTACGATTATTTCGAAGTGTATATAAGACATTTTAATATTAATGTTTACATTCGGACAATTTACAATATACTTTCTGATCAATTTAAATGAAATGCAAATTCTTAAGACATCCCATTTCGCTACATAGCGTGTTCATGCTTAGGGTCCCCACAATACACACGCGATCCTGATTTCACAAGCGACAACCAACATCACGAAACAGTCCGGCACTTCGGTGGGTTTCCCGAACTCGGCACGTCCGCCACAAGCAACGCAAACCCCGCTACTGCGCGCGAACGCAGTCCAACAAACACCGGGCGAGCGGGGAGGGGTAGAGCGGGAAATGGGAGCGGGGGAATAGGGCGAGGGGGCGGGGGAGCGGGGGCAGGGAGTGGGGGAGCGGGGGAGCAGGGGTGCGGGGAGGCGGGGGAGCGGAAGAGCGTAGAGCTGGGAGCGGTAGAGAGGGGAAGCAGCGAAGAGGAGCGGGGGAGCGGGGGAGCGACGGGGAGGGGAGGCGGGGGAGCAGGGGAGCAGGGGAGCGGAGAGCAGGGGAGAGCGTGGGGAGGACGGGGGGGGAGCAGGGGAGCGGGGGAGAGACGGGGCGGGGGGAGCGGGGAGCGGAGCGGAGCAAGGGAGCGCGGGGGAGCAGGGGAGCGGGGGAGCGGGGGAGCGGGTAGAGCTGGGGAAGCGTAGAGTGGGGAGCGGAGGACGGTAGAGCGGAGGAGCGGTGGAGTGGGGGGAGGCGGCGGAAGCGGGGAAACGGTGGCAGCGGAGAGGGAGCGGGGGAGCGGGGGAGCGGCGGAGGGGAGCGTGGGTGACGGAGGGAGGTGGGGATGGAAAGCGGGCGGACTAGGAGCGGGCGAGGCGACGGGTGAAACTGCGCGAGTTAATGCCCGTGTTCGTTCCGCTTCGGAAAGTGCTGGCGCGGACCAATTATCGCCTGGCATCAGGGACGGCGGCGCGGCGGCGGCGCGGGGCGGCGACGCGGGACGTCGGCGGCTTCTTTCCGCGAGAATTTGGGAAGAGGAACCTTGCGCGGGATATCGAGCGGACGCGCGAAGAAAGGCGAATGGAGATAGCGCCGCGGCGCCCCACTTGCGTCATCGTTCCGTCAGTCATTTTGAATCAGCGACCACGAAGAACGTGTTTTATTGGTATAATTAAACAATAGTCAGTTGGCTGTAAGATTTTCGTGTAGAAAA